ATTCTAAATGCACAAAATATTTTAACTCTTTACCCAATAACATCTAATTAAACTTTAAAACCGTACACCGTTTACTGCCACCTTTAACTTTAAATTAAAGGTCGTCAACCGGTACTGGAGTACCGTAATAGAAACAAAATCAAAAAAAATATCATTGCTAAATTAAAATGTAATTCAAACTAAGATATTTTATGTTGCCTCTTAAACATTCAATGATTTACTATAAATCGTATACGTGATTGATAATACATTATTTATGAGATAACCCACCAAAGAATCCACAACTAATAATGACGGGAAAATCCATTGACGTCAGCCAGTTATTTAATCAAAGTTACCAATAAACTAAAATATGTTACTTATGCTTTCTTAACTTCATTAACTAACAGTTAATGTCATTTGAAAGTGAAACTTTCATATAAAAATGTTTATTGACTATGATGACTCGGTAACGTCGTTGCTAAGCTTTTGGCTTGGTCGTCGGGAATCGAAGGTTTCCAGCACGGTGACACCGTTACTAAGGGACAGGCTTCGTCGTCGGGGTCGTAGGTTCGATTATCGCGCGGGACAAGTATTTGTGTGACCCACTTATAATTTTTACAAATCCGAAAAATTGAGGTGTGGCAGGCGGCCGGTCGCAAAAGAATAGCCAAAACCGCTTACAACATGATTCACGTGTTGTGCCCACCCTACCTAGGTGTTATCCCACCTAGGTAGGGTGGACAACCCATTTGTTTGCTGGAAGAGGCAGGCAAACTATTTGAAAGAATTATTGCCGACCGCCTGAAAACGCACCTACGTCAGTTAGACCCCGACCTATCCGATAGCCAGTATGGCTTTAGGCAGGCGCGGTCAACTGTGGACGGAATACTTTGCATCCGAGACTAGTCGCAGCGCAGTTACCCAGGGTGGTGTAGTATTGGCGGTCAGCTTGGATATCGTCAATTCACTACCCTGGCGAAAAATCAGGGAAGCTCTGACCTACCACCAGGTACCCTTATCTGCAGCGCATTATCGGGGCGTACTTGTACGGCAGGTGCATTCAGTACGTGAGTCGGGACTCGTTAGTACATCAGGTGGAGGTGGACTGCGGGATTCCACAAGGGTCCGTTTTAGGGCCACTACTTTGGAACCTTGCTTATGATGCAGTCCTGCGTACTGTTCTTTCCAAAGGTGTAAGTGTTGTCTGCTATGCAGATGACACTCTCGTAATTGCCGAAAGGGATTGCTTCGAGAGCACCAGTCGGCTCGCCGAGCTTGGGGTGGCATGCGTTGTGGGTAAGATCTACGAGCTGGGTCTTCATATAGGGCCTCATAAGACCGAGGTGCTTTGGTTCTACAAACCCCCAAAGGGATGGAGCCCACCCAGCTGGTTTGTTCGCGTGGGCGACGTGCAGATCCAAGTGGATCCAGTGATGAAATATCTCAGATTCACTCTGGATAGTCGCTGGGGCTTCGAAGAGCACTTCATTCGCTTGGCTCCCCGAATTGAAAAGGTAGTAGGTGCTATGCACAAATTGCTGCCTAGTCTCGGGGGCCCCAGGGAAGGAGTTCGCCGCCTCTATGCGGGGATAGTGCGATAGATGCGGCCTTCTACGGGGCGCCCGTATGGTCTCGCCGACTAACGGGCGTCCGACACTGCAGAGCTAAACTTTATAGCCTGCAGCGAAAAATAGCTGTCAAGATCGCACGAGGGTACCGAACGATATCCTTGGAGGCGGCCACTATCCTCGCTCGGTTTCCACCATTGGATATTCTAGCGGAGATGGATGCGCAAGTTTATACTCAGCTTTGACTACCCCAGGATGATGCCGAGCCCGGGAGCCTGGATGCGGGTGAAATGCGTGAGTAGGAGCGTATAAGGGCGTTGGAGGATTGGCGCGAGCGTTTGGGCGAACCACGAAGCTCACGCCAGCGAATCGTCATCACGTTCTTGCCGAGCTTCGAAGCCTGGCTTAGCGCGAGGAGATTTGCGCGTCACCATTCGGCTGACACAGGTACTCACAGCATCCGTGATGCTTTGGTGAGTACTTAAATAGAATCGGACACGAACCGACAACGCAATGCCCCCATTGTGGTCGGGACCTACGACACTACGCGCAGCACACGCTTGATGAGTGCCCCGCGTGGGCGTCAGAGCGTCGGATCCTGGTACAAAAGATCGCGCAGAGCCTTTCTCCACAAGTCGCAGTGTCGGCTACATTGGTGGAGCTGCGAAGCTGTTATGCTCCAGAAGGAGATCGCTGAACAATAACGGGAGAGGGCGGATCCCGCTCGAAGATGATGGCGACTAAAAGGGGACACGGATTGGCAGCAGCTCGAAGTGGTCTCGAGCTGCTGCAAGATGAATCCGTGGCGCCGTTGCCAAGGTATTGGCTTCGGCGTCGGGGGTCGCAGGTTCGATTCCTACACGGGACAACTATTTGTGCGACCCACAGATAGTTGTTTCGTATCTTGGTGTTTGTCCTCGTGCAATTTATGTTTGTAAAACGTCCTTACTACACAGGATAATGTTATTTAAAAGTGAGGGCAATGTTTTTAAAAAGAAAACAAAAAAAAAAAACAAAGATGGTGAGGGAAGCGGGGAAGCTATCCTTCTCCGGGGAGTGCTCACGCGCAGTACTGAGGGACACCGGTGCGTTCCGTTGGAGATCCCGGAGTCCCTCCAAACGTACAGAGGGTGGCCACCGAGGGTGTTTTAGTGGGTAAGAACCTCACATAACCCTGTCATGTAACGTGACGGGGTATCTTTTGAAGATTTCTCCCCCGATACCAAAAAAAAGGTAGTGTCGGCAGGGGGATGATGATGATGATGTTTATTGATTATTTTCAAATTGTAATCAATTACCCTATAAACAAAAATCCTAAGGTGAGGTTGGGTCTTTCGCCCGTAACCCCCATATTAACAAAGTAGTACGCTTAGGTAGCGTACCTTATACTCAAAATCACCGAACGGTATTCGTCGAAGGTTATACCTGTATAACCTTTCGACGAATAAATAACCGCCGACCTCGACACATCCCGATGATAACTAAGAGGCTATTTATGAGGCGATATCAACAGCCGTACATGCCTCCGTATGGTACTTTACGTTGAAGTCCTCCATAACTACTGTGAGTTATGGAGGACTTCAACGCAATGGTAGGGCCTAAGAATGACGATGAGTTGAGAGTAAGGGCATACGAATAGGAGGAATAAAGAAATCGGAGAAACCAGAAGCTAGTCGACTTTATGAAGAAGAGGGGACTCTATTTATGAACTAACTCTACCCGAAGCGTTCGTCCTGAAAATGGACGTGGATAAGCCCCCATGGCTAAACCAAAATAGAGATCGTCATCATCGTGATGACCAAAAATCGAATATTCACTTATGTCTTTTTTTTTATGCGAAAAGTTGTCAAACGAGCAGACAGTTCACCTGATGTTAAGTGAATACCGCCGCCCATGGACATCTGCCACACCCGAGGGTTGCAGATGCGTTGGCAACCTTTTGAAAATTGGGCTCCGGCTACCTTATCACCAGACGAAACGCGAAAGCATTATATTTCCCCTTCACGCTGGTCTTCTGTGAGGTCGTGGTACTTACCCGGACGGGCCTACCCATTCGTGCAACATCCGAGGCTGCTGCCTGGCCCTACCACCTGTCTTCGTTATAAACAATTTAAAAGTGATAAAATTTGAAAAAGAATCACGTCTTATTTGTGACATCATAATGTTAAAGGATTCCACAATGATAAACGGTCTCTACACATTAAAGCTTCATCGTGCAGATTACAGTCTGTTAAATATAGGTTGATACGTGGCACATTGACATTGACATACAAATATGAATTTTATATAATTATGAAGTTCCGTATATTTTAAATAAAAAATTTACGTAAACCATTTATTATGGTATTTTATTTTGTAATATCACTTTAGTTTAATAATGCCAATGTCCCACGTATCATCATATATTTAACAAACTGTAGCTTGATATGGCCCTCCCCGTTGGATAGCGTCGTATACTATGGATCATAAAACCTATTATGACCGTTGACTATATTAATAGGATGGTCGAAATCTGCCCATGGAATCTGACCTAGTGTTGATTTCGCCGTGATTGGAGATGAGGACGAAATATTTGGTTGTGTATGCTATCACTATCTGTATGATGCAAAGTCTTGTCGGGAAGGATAACTTTAAACATTTGAGATTACAGGCAAATTTTTTTATATCTTAGAGTTTGCAGATGTGCTATTAAATAAGAATAACAACACCATGTCATTAAACAATATCATTCGCTTGTTACATACTTAATTACCCAACTTTAGTGTAGAAGATTAATAGTTTTCGTTGAATGATTATTTTCGTAAGTAATCAATCACCAAAGTGTGTTTGTTAAATAATTTAATTTCAGCAAACTAATTGATTGCTGAAATTATTAACTGTTTTCCTAATTTAACTTTTGGCAGCAATCTTTGACTTATGTTCAACTATTGATTGCAGTCCAAGCCGAGATTCATTAGCAGAGGGCGCGAACATGTAACGGAGCGAGAGGCATCATCGTGTCGTGCAACAGCGACGTTGGTCTACTGTGTACGCAAATCGTCTACTTTTGAACGTCTTCAGAATAATCTAACGAAACGCCGAGCTAACTAGTCTGAAATTTTATTCAAATTTAATTATGGAATATTTGCAATATTTTTGTGCTATGAATGATTTATCCGAAATTATATGAAGTCAATTTGACAGTTGTCAATTGTCTGTAATTGTCATGTAGTTCTGTAATCTGTCAGTTCTGTCAAGTCAAGTCTGTTGCAGCTTTAAGCATGTTGTAGATCAATTTATTTGCAATGTATCGAGGATTTACTATACTTACGCTATGATCTTCATTAAAACTAAAGAGAATCAATAAAAACAAAGGGGATATTACTCTATTATACTGAAAAAAAAATTACATAACGAACAAGTAAACAAGTAATGTAGCAATTTGTTGGTTATAATTTCATCTAAATAAAAATGTTCCTGAGAAAATATTTTATATCTAAAGCTAATTGTACAAGAAGGCTACTGCAAGTAGATTATGGTTTACACTTTTTTCAAAATCAATCTCTGCAATCAAAGTTCTATCACAGTAAGTATTTAATTCATGAAATTATACTCATTGCTTTTTGTTGTGATTTCTCGCGTGTATTTTCGTATGTAAAGTCAGCTTTAAATTCCAGACATTATTTTATAATTATAGTATTGTAAGTTCTATAATTGCTTTTTTTAAATAATTATGCTTCATATTTACAGATCATGATGTGTCAACCCATATAAGCAAACATGAATTTTTCGCCAGACACAGTAACTTGTCATATCTTTACTCTTCATACCTTATAACAGTACATAGGAGAAATTATTCAAATGGTTTACTGGATGGAGAAATTTCAGCATTAAAAAAAACCCAGCATGAAAAGGGTAATTAATTTAAAGAGTTTCTAACAGTGCCAATATTTTTTAAATTACAATGAAAATTTATTTAATATTCTTACAATCTGGTTAATATTTTTTGTCCAATAAAGTTAAACATTAAATATACAATAATAAAGTCATTATTTCTCACCATTGATCTTGATTTCAGAATTAAAAAGGATATCTGAACTATTTCCACAACCTAGAGTGACACTCAATGAACTAAATAGCAAGACACCTGAGAGAGTATTTGAAATACTCTACAAGCAAAATGTGGTTGCTCCGAAGGGTGGTAGGAAGAAAATCACACACAACAATGACTGGACATGCACATACAAATTTATTTGGCCAGAAAAGATACAGTTTGAGAGGTAGGTAACTATAAACATTGTAATGAACATTAACACGGCAAATGTAAATAACTTTAACTTTGGCGAAATTCAATTGAAATAAATTTTAAACTATAGAAAAAAATCACTATTGAATTAATCAACAAGCGGAATTTGGTGGTCGCTTATAGTCTTTGAGAAAAAAATATTGAATACTTGTTATTTTCATTAAGAAAGTCCACCAATTTATTAGTTTGACTTCAAAAGGTCAATACACAGTTCTGCCAGCATGATAAATATAGGAAGCTGGTGACGTCATACTCTTATCAATAGTTCGATAATTTTTTTTAAACTTAAGTCACAGAACAGACACAGAGCAAATCCGACTCGGTTAGATTAGGTCAGAAGGTTAAGTATTTCATTATTTATTTCGAATTCATCTTGTTGATTAATTCATTAGTGATGTTTCTCTATTGTTTAAAATTTATTTGAATTGAATTACGCCTAATTGAATTGAATTATGAACTGATGAATATTGTACACACAGTAATATTAGAATTCCTTGGTGCTAAATTGCAAGAATTTATTTTGTTCTCAAAATGTAAATGTTTACAATAACTTATTAACATTTTGGTTATTTTATTTGTAAGTGAAAACTGAATGAAGTGAGTTATTTTATTACTAATAAAGTTTTAAAGTATTGTATTGATTTTTCTAACCTGTGTATGTTTTGTTACAGTACCGCAATCTCCAAACGTCAAGCAGCTGAAAAATCTGCAACCCAAGCTTTACATTGGCTGTACATAAACAAGCGCATAGACAATAAAGGCAATCCAATTTATGATAAGAAAGTATTAGATGAAATAAGAAGTACTATCAATGAACCACTACATGCGGCAATCAGTGAAAACTCTGTAGAACGAATTGATAGGATATGGAACGACTATGAGACTAATATCAGTATGTACAATTCTTGACCTTTACATAATATGAATATATGCTTTTAAAAACATGTCCTTTAAGAAACAGTATATCAGTTTATGAAAGTGTTATATACATTATGTCATTACTTATATATTTTATTAGTAGTTTAGAAAATTATAAAACTTTTTATAAAATACAAATCATCTATGATTGTGTGAGAAAAAGATACATGGTAAAGTTTTTAGAAATATTGAGATTTAAAAAATTTAACTATATTTTCATTTAATAAAATAGTAATATGACTCCCTCCAAAATTTAAATGTGTACTAAGAAAGATGATATATATTTTGTCTTCTTACAGAACACATCTATGAAAAAACTTTCGCTGAAGCAAAACACAGACTTTTGGCGACAACTACCTCTTTAAAGAAGGATTCAACCATTGACCTGGAAGGTATGAAAGCTTTTATATCTTTTACTACATTATTTTAGATAGACAAAATATCTAATAATCCCAAAATATTAGTATAATCGAATTGATCAGCACAATTACCAAGCTATTGACTACAATGTTGTTTATTGTGGATTCTCTTCAATGAACACCAGGACCAAATGCAGCTTTACTATGTTTCATTCTATTTATACATATTATTAATATCTACTTACCATTTCCAGATCAATCCGAGGACCCCCTAGAATCTCAGATTGAAGATGATAGGAGTTTATCAGGTGATTTTTAATTATTTAGAAGTGATATCACTCATAATATGGCTTAGATTAGATGAACCACAATAACGAGAGTTAATTTTACTTATTAATAAGAAATCGTGAGTAAACCTGTATGTTTTCGAAATAACATAAAAAAAATATTTCGAAGGTATTTGAAGCCCGCTTATCCGTAGTGGGGTCGCATTGTGATGCGACCCCACTATTTATTATAATCAATTCGCTGTTTCATAATACCACCTTTACAGAGGAGGCGTCCATCAGTGTGACATATATAGGCCGTTACTTATTTACTCTGCTTTCCAAAGTGTCTAATCTTCAAGGACCGTTTTTAAAACACCGTTTGCGTTCCTTAATGTTTGTCACCAATAGGTCCCAGATGAGTTCGGAGAAATATAACCAATGAGCGCGTACTAGGAAATAAAAGACAGCCCCTGCTGTTTAAAGGCTTTGATGACTCCGTGGCGCAGTTGCCAAGGAATCGGCTTCGGCGCTGGCGGTCGTGGGTTCGATTAACGCTCGAGACAACTATTTTTGTGACCCACAGACAATTGTCTCGGATCTGGGTGTTTGTCCACGTGAAATTTTATATATATAAAAATCTTTATATATTAAAATATTACCCCTTACTGTATTAAGGGGTAATATTTTAATAATTCGATGCAAAGGCTGCAATAGATTATTTCTTACTTCTCTTAAAAAGTTGACTTCAATACATTTGTAAACATGTCTTTTAATGGTACAAAAAAGTCCCGCTGAGTTTCTCTCGCCGGTTCTTCTCAGGTCAGTGGCTTTTCTTTCCGAACCGGTGGTAGCGTCTTGACAATCAATAAGTAAGTGTAATCCTTCTATATGGAATAAACGTATTTGATTTCAAGAAGCAGTGTTCGGGACTTACGCAACCCCTTACACGGATAATAAAAATACAAATGGAGGCTTTACCCTTTTCCTTTCGTCTGCCTAGACACGAAGACGCACGTCAATCCAGTTTGCGGTCGTGTATTAAACCCACCTTCTGAATCCGCTTTGGCGAGACGTGACAAAACTCTGAGGCAAAAGTTCAAGAACTACGAAGAGCAACTCGCCCCTCTGCCAATAGACGGTTACGCGTGAGTAGTTTACTTTTATTTAACACTCTTCTATCATCCTCTGTTTATAGATATATCTTTATATATATGTATACACCGTGTCGTTACCATCGCGACAATAAATGAACACACATATAGGGGATAACTTTTTAAAGTTGTATTAAACATTTAAATTCTTTAAACATCAATATTTACAGAGTTATAAAATTTTTAAAAATAAAGAATTTTAGAACATCCTTACCTATAAAAGCGCAACGTAAAGTTCATTTGTAAAGGTCACAAAGCATATGAATGGGTTGAATAAATTTAAAAGAGACAAAACATACTGTTAGAAGGAGAGGCTTGTAATGCGACGCTGTGGCGCGAGTTGTATAGGATGTTACAAATTTTGTTTCTTTTTTACTTAATTAGTTTGTTTGAAAAATATTTTTTTTAATTATGGATTTTGTTTAACGTTAATATTTTTTTATGATTATTGGCAAGTAGCGTTAGACGTGTGTTCATTTATTGTCGCGTTGGTAACGACACGCTGTATAAAAATTTCGTGTCATGTTTGTCCGCGATGAAGCCCTAAACTACTGAACCGATTTTAATCAAATTTGATTTCAGTCAATTCGCCATGTTGGGGTGTTCGTTTTTCAAACAAAATGAATAAAAAATATAATAAAACTTTCGGTACGCGGTTTATTTTATTTTAAAGAATGAATTGCCAAATAATTTGATTTTCAGTTCCAAACTAAGCAAAGCGTGTATGAGTAAAAGATAACTGACAAACATAATTTACTTTTGTAAATGAATACAAAGTATAGATATAAACACAGGCGCTAGAAAAACACTATGTTCGTAACATTTTTCAGTCTTGGATATCGAACCGAACTCACACGTCTGGCGAGACTCGAGATAGGTGCACTATCCACTACACCAAAAAGGTACAATCCCGTACCCTTGCGCATGATAAGACAATCCCTTGTCATAGAGGCATATTACAAACACATTAAAAGAGGGCAAACACCCTGATCTATAACAGTTGGCTACAGATCCTACAGATTTCGTCTCGGCTGAGGGTCGAAAACCGGCATAAGTGGAAGTATAATACTTTCGTGTTTCGTCTGGTGAGTGAGGTGGCCGGAGCCCAATTTTCAAAAGGTCGTCAACGCACCTGCAACCCTCGGGCTTAGCAGATGTCTATGGGCGGCGGTATTCACTTAACATCAGGTGAACCGTCTGCTCGCTGGACAACTGTACACATATAAAAAAAAAATCGAATAGCCTCATAGAGTAACGCTTAGTACGTATGAGCCTCGCAGTGAAACTTAACCACCGACATCCTTAATAACTACACAAACAAATCTCTTATTTGAATGTGTCTAAAACCGAAACAGCAAAACCGCGGTGTCGCGCTTTGTTCCTCACCCGCGACGGAGTTCTACATTTTGACCCCGATATGGACTCGACCCCAAAACACTGACCAGAATACCCACTTTTTCTTTCCGATCTTGACTTTGGTCCCATCACGACAGAGGTCATACGATTATGTTACATAGTTGGATTAAAACTACAAAATCGCTTTCACATTTTTATTACTCTTGATTACACCTCATAAATGAAGAATACGAATGTTTGTAAAAAGGCGCGTAGATTGTTACGAGATATTTGATTATTTATCAACGGGTTCTAACGATTTTTTACTATATAATTATATTTTTACCTCTTCATTCGACAGTACAGGGTAATAAATCTTACACATTTTAAATGCTTTATATGTAAAATATCATTAACTCGATACATTGTGGATATCAAAAATTTATTATGCGAAATAAACCAATGAACAATGTTTTTAATAACAAAAAAAAAATACATATCATGTAAAAGTAAACATAGTTCAGTACTGCTAGGACCAGTACAATGACAAGCAGTTTCCTTCAAAGAGAAAGCTATCAAAAGGCAATCACCAAAGGCACGAGAAAGCGAAAGTCCACTCTCGCTTTCAAAAATAACACTAGCTGCCTTTAACGACACGAGTGACGTAAACATCAAACGTCATTATGACGTGAGAATCACACGTCATTCTGACGTCTACGATAGAGCCTTACTGCGGCAGCGTTCACTTTCATTTGAACTAAAGTCATTTCTGTCGAGCGTCATTGAATTTGTTTTAGGCGTTTTGGTAATACCGATCGTGTTTTGTTTACACCGATAATAATTAAGATTTATTATTGGAGTTTCCCGAAACGTCTGTCATGGCGTCTAGATAAACACTGATTTAACGTGTAGCCTGTTTTTTTTTTTTTTTTTTTTTTTTATGGAGAAAAGGGGCAAACGAGCAGGAGGCTCACCTGATGGTAAGTGATTACCGCCGCCCACGAACACCTGCAACACCCGAAGGCTCACAAATGCGTTGCCGGCCTTTTAAGAAAGAGCTAATCGGTTACATGAATTTTGTATTTAAGAAAAGGTTCGAATCCCGATGGCGGTATCAAAATGGTTTCCGACTTACGCACATGCAGTTCTCAATAAAAGCGACCGGTGAGGGTCAGATTAATAGGAGACTACACTTGTTATGCATTCTATTTATGTTTTCTTACTGTGATCTTTATGAGCACGTAGAAAGTTTTCTTCATTGTTAATTTACCTTGGTCAAATGATTTCAATTATTCTATGTAGAGGCTATCAACCTCTACATCAATATATTATTTCTGCTGGCATATAAAACATGAATCTAAGGTAGTGAACGTGCTTTTCACATACATGCCTTGTCTGATAATAAACTCAAACCAGAATGATCTTAGAGTTCTCTGGCCTGAGTTTTGCACTATTAATCAAGTAACCATTAAACAAGACTAATTTATCGATCTTTTCACTGTTAATCATGGTTATTATTCCCACCGATTGGAACATAATGTAAAAAGCCCTGAGTACTACAACATTTGTGTACAATGTACTATTAAATAAGTTTATTTATGAATTTTTCCTATTAATTATAGTTTTTATTCCTGAAGTTTCAAACATTTTGCAAAATCTATGGTCTCATGGAGATGTTTTATGCCTCCGTGGCGCAGTGGCCAAGGTATTGGCTTCGGCGTCGGGACAACTACTTGTTTTACCCACAGATAGTTGTTTCACATCTGGGTGTTTGTCCGCGTGAAATTTATGTTTGTAAAACGTCCTTACAACACAGGGTAATGGTATCCTAAAGTAAAGGCCATGTTTAAAAAAAAAAAGAAAGAATGATCAACTCAAAAAGTTTAACCATACTTTTGGCAACTGAAATGTCATTTGACTGCTGATCAGTTAACATCTATGATGATGAGTGTTTCAGAAACCGGGCGTTAGTATTCATCGCCGAAGATGTTTGTTTTCCCGTTAAGTTTCACACTTCTTGTAATAAAAAAACGGTATCTTTACTAAGCATTTGGGGTCTACGTGACACTCGACAGCGCTTTCCAAGCACACATCCGGGAAAAAGATATGACACATGCCTTCGACCGCTTTTGGGAACGTTTGGTCTTATTTGAATTAACTTATCAGAATCTTGTTTTGAGACTTCCTAAAGTATTATGCCTTTCTTGGTATTGCTTTTTGGCTGTGCCGTTGTTTATTTTATAAGGAAATTCTTGTTATGTAGTCGATTGGAATTGATGCTGCGTATAAATCTTACTGTTTTTATAATAACCCATCGATTCTGGCAAAAATAATGTCCTAAATTAAATTTATTTAATTTCAATTTTGTTATCCTAAGTTATATTTAAAATTTATTTTCCAATGAAACGATAAAATTATATTGATGTTATATGATATAATAATGTGCTTAATAAATATACAAAAAATATTTATAATAAACAAAGAAGAAAAATTTCGACATTGTATCTAAATTGCTCAGTTACCGCTGATATTTAATCGCACTGTGAGATCAGATTTAGAGAATTATCTAGATTTATCGTATTATTCATGAGGAGAGATATACGAAATAGATTAAATAAACTCTGTGGATATTGTGAATTATTTTGTAACCCCTACTGTTATTATTTCAATGATACTTACCTTGTCGTCAGTATTTCGATTTCATTCTTGAAGATTGCTTGGATAAGTAGGTTTTCTGAGAATAGCTTACTTGCACGTATGGACACCACAAGGTACAGTTTCCCCCTATACTATTCATCTTTATGGCATTGATTATAGCGTTTTGCACTCAGAAAAAAACATAGTTAATATAGCATAATGAGAGTACACGATTAGCCACAACTATGCATTTGTATGCTTTATGACCTAAAGAACACTTGACTATACAATCGGATTCGTTGAAAAAGCTAGCGGGAGTTTCCCAAGCCACTCGATTAGCAAATTACCGTCGGTGTATGCTTTGCGGTCATAGTGTATTAGGCTGCGCAATCGGATTCTTTATAAAACATATTGCTTGTGGTAGTACCGCAAGGTGCGCAATCGGACCGCCACTATTAATGCTCTAATGTAATGCAAGATATAACTGATTTGATATATCACTTCAGAGAATTTACTTAGTTAACTTAATTGATTTTTTTTTAAATTAGTCCGAGCGCTCGCTTTTAATTCAATACAGTGGAGCAACCTGAGTTCAAGCCCCAATGCCATCAATAAAAATATTTAGAAGATTTATGTAGTCTGGCAATCCGCAGTTGGCTTGCGTGATAAACTATGAACTCATATAGGCTGTTATTATATAATATATATTTTATATTTATAATATATATGTTAATATCATTAGGCTTTATTTTACGAATATTTTTTCCCTTTTTTTGTGTCTACACAGAAAGGAAAAATATGTAAAATCTTCCAATCCGCAGTGGAGTCACGTGGTATGCTATATGAGACTCGTATAGGGTATTTGTTTCCTTACTTATAAATACGGAATAAATTTTCCATTTCTTTATTTTTTTTTTTTTGTGTACACAGAGAGGAAATAACAACGAGACTGAACGACTCCCGCGTCTTGGTAATAGTGGGGGCCGCTGGTTGTGGGAAGTCAACACGGGTGCCGGCGATGGTCCTGCGCCAATGGGGTTCGTCGGTGACTGCAATGGTATCTGAGCCAAGACGGGTGGCGGCGATAGGGCTGGCCGAGAGGGTGGCAGACGAATTGGGCGAGGAGGTGGGTGTGTACAACCCTGTTCGACGTTTATGGTATGCACCATCAGTCGGGTTTGAGATAGATAATCGAAATTGCTTTCAAGCAAACTGGGTAATAGATGTCTGCACATTTGTGTACAGTTTACGATGACGACGAAACACCTGATAGCGAATAGTAACTGGATCTCTATCTATCTGGCTATTAGAAACTAATAACATATTAAACACATATGACTGTGCTGGATTTTTTTCATAGGGCTAGAGTTTGTATGATGTACAGGTAATTGTTCCAGATATGGATGATTATGCTATCTGTGAATAGAATACCTCTGCAAAAAATAGTTAGTGCTATTAAATGATTTCAAAAGGCAAAACAAATATAATGATACATATTCTTAGGTATCAATCTTATATTTACTTTTAAAATGACTTTAAGGATTCAAAAGCTTTGGAACATGTTATTAAATTCAACGCACCGCAAGGAGACAAGCCATGTACATACTTTTTTTAATGTAAGCTTTTGACCAGTCTTGCGTTCTTAGAAAATTAGAAAAAATAAAACTACGTAAAAAAAATAACCATAAATGTTCCCTCCTTCTCTAGACAGGGGAATCGATAGGCTACCAAGTCCGTCTACACTCCAAGTTGCCTCGACCCACCAGTGGCATTGTCCTGTATTGTACGTCGGGAGTTCTGTTGCGAAGGTTACAACTGAATCCAGGTCGGTATATTACCATAAGGGGTCGTCAATTAATCACGTGTGGCTCCAAAGGGGGGGGGGGGGGGGGGGGGGTGGAGTTTGGCAAAAATCACGAAATATCACAAGGGGGGAGCGGCGGTTTAGTAAGATACTCGTATCATGTGTAATTAATTTTTCACCATTCCTTTATTCGAAGTTAACCACAGACTACTAATAAACAGATAACAAAAATATAGTTATAGTATTTTTTTTTCTACAGATTATAAATATTTGAACTTTAATGAGCAAAGTGAAGGTCTAACATGCAACACCCTCTGTGCAGAGGTCTTTGCCCAGCAGTGGGACATATGCGCGGTTACAAGTTGTTAGTTCAGAAATAAAATGATCATATCCAGGTTTGGAAGGGTGCTCCCACGTGTTCATAGACGAGGCACACGAACGTGACGTCAACACTGACGTCACTCTGTTGCTGCTTAAACGGGCTCTCGAAATCAATCCGACACTGAAAGTTATCATAATGAGTGCAACTCTAGACACGGAGGTATTCACGAAGTAAGTTCGACTCCACGGTGTGTTACAATACAACCATACAAACGTATTATGTGTATTATTATATATATGTATATACTATTATACAGCGTGTCAATAAATGAACACACGTCTAACGCTACTTGCCAATAATCATAAAAAATATTAGCGTTAAAAAATCCATAATTAAAAAAACATATTTTTCAAACAAACTAATTAAGTAAAAAGACACAAAATTTTTAACATCCTATGCAACTACAACTGACTGATTCATACATTCAGAGACTTTTTCGTTCGTTGCCACAGCGCATTACAAGCCTCTCCTTCTAACAGTATGTTTTGTCTCTTTCAAATTCATTAAACCCATTCTTATGCTTTGTGACCTTTACAAATGAACTTTACGTTACAGTTTTATACGTAAGGGTGTTCTAAAATTCGTTGTTTTGGAAAATTTAATAACTCAGTAAATATTGATGTTTAAAGAATGTAAATGTTTAATAATAATAATAATAATACAATTTTAAAAAGTTATCCTCTATATGTGTGTTCATTTATTGTCGCGATTGTAAAGACACGCTGTATATTTGACCCGAATGGCGTAGTGGGTAGTGTACCTGCCTACTGTGCCAGAGGGTGTGGGTTCGATCCCCACTACTGAAAAAGTATTGTGTGATGAACATAGTGTTTTTCTAGTGGCTGGGTGTTTAGATATGTATAATATGTATTTATTTACAAAAGAAAAGTATGTTTAAGTATGTTTATCAGTTATCTAGTACCCATAGTACAAGCGTTGCTTAGTTTGTTACTAGAGAATGTTGTGTAAATAATATGCTTTATTGAACACTCGTACAGTGTGAGTAGAGGGTTGAATCACAAACTAGGTTACCCTGTATTTTGGGAGCCAATCCCTTCCCCTAATTAATCTACACTTTAGTGCCAATAAATAATGTAAACTTTATTTTATTGGGCGAAACAAAATGGAATGTGGTTTACTGAAAAATATAACAGAGAGGGTGGGAAATTTAATAGTAACTGAGAAAGTTTCCCTTCACACAACTGTTATGAACATGGCATGCGTAAAATGTTATTGACCTATTCGTAAATGTTATTGACATATTCGTAAATGTTATTGACATATTCGTAAATGCTATTGACATATTCGTAAATTTTATTGACATATTCGTAAATGTATGCTGTATTCGGAAGTTTGACGTTGGAAAGTGAATGACGAATGAGGCTGCGTGATCTTCGTTCCAGATACTTCGACGCGTGCCAATTGGTCGAAGTGCCTGGGCGCACGTTCCCAGTGAAAGTGTCCCATCTAGAGGAAATCCAGAAGAGGTACCGTTTGAATCTGCCAATGACCATTCAAAACTCCACCAAGGAAGATGGCAGACCGCATATCAACTGTCAAGAAGTAAGTGGTACAGCCCTTAATGTATTTCAACATTGAAATGACTAGATTTGTTATTACGTTCTTCACTTCTGTCTTATATCTACTAACTAACTGATACCAGCTACTTTGCTGCGTTGCTTATTATATTAACAACTATACCACTTGTTCCGTTTCTCCGCGGCCAATAAACACGCATCGTTGTTTTTTAAAACTTTATTAACTTTATAATACTTTCTAGGGTTCCGTACCCATAGGGTAAAATGGGACCCTATTACTAAGAATCCGCTGTCTTTCTGTCCATCCGTCTGTCACCAGGCTGTATCTCATGAACCGTGATAGTTAGACAGTTGAAATTTTCACAGATGATGTATTTCTGTTGCCGCTATGACAACAAATACTAAACAACAGAATAAAAAGAAAAAATATTTAAGTGGGGCTCCCATACATCAGACATTATTTTTTTATAGATATATTTATATAAATTTGTTTATATACCCGTTTTTATAGATACTGGTACGGAACCCTTCGTTCGCGAGTCCGATTCGTACTTGGCCGGTTTTTTTGATAAGTTTCTATCAAATGAAACTTGGAAGAATTAATTGAAATATATCCAGTACAAAAATTTAATTGACAAAATTTTTTGCAAGTTAGTAAAATAACCTTTATCGCTTATAATATGTGATGCATTATCCTTTAACCATGGGTCGCGAAGAAAATAACATTCTTAATCTATCCCCTCTCTACCCCTCAATATTCTTTGTCTAACATTCGTCTAACTAAGCGATTCATCCCATTCCACCGTTGGACAAGTGGTTTTGCATTAATTTCTATGTTACAATCTCAACTTCATCCCGTCTGTACGTCTTCCATCTTCTGTCACTATCATTTTCTTTACAATCGGCTTCAAAATTAGGAGGTTCTCAATTCGGTTGTGCTTTTATGTTTGTTACCTCCGAACTCCTTCAATTACGAACCGATTTTAAAAATTCTTTTTGCATTGGGTTCGTTTTAGCTCCCCTTTGGTACCATAATAATATTAGTTGTACTGAATTTTGGACTGACGATACATCAGAAAAGTACTCAAAATCATATAGAAAATGTATAGCGAGTAAGATATTTGAAGCCGTGTTAACAACTCTTAAAATACCATACTCCTAAAGCAATTCAAAATTCCAATAAATTCAAACCAAAACTTCCTCAATTAGCCTAATTCAAAGTTTTTTGTTATATCATCATACAGGGTAAAATAAATTATCTGATAAAATTACCTAGTCCTGTCTAGTTTATTTTTATCAAAAACGTAAATAAAATTAGATTCCTAAAAATATTCCTATAAAAACTTATTGTAAATTTTAACTTTCTAAAGTTATTAAGAAAATTCCTAACTCGGCGTCCGTGATTCGAAGTCGGTTTAATATTTTTTATTAAAATGTACTTTTTATCCGACTGCGCCGGAAGGAAGGTTATGTTTTTCGATAGTATGTATGTATGTATAATTGTTTGGCACGCTCTGCAGCGTGAACGGCTCGATGGATTTCAGCTTGAGAGGTGTCGTTAGATTCGTATTCATTGAAACGAAATTAACTGAAGTAATTCTTCAGTTAATTTCGTTTCGTCAGTAACAGAAACGCAGTCGGTTTTTTTTAGTTTTTTTTAAATTGAATTCTTTACACTCATCTAGCTTTATCGGACCAAATCACTCGCCAACGATCTCTGCCCACATAGAAAGCGATCTCTTCATCAGGTCGCGGAAGTGGTGAAAGCGGTGGACAGGTCTGAGCCGGAGGGCGCCATACTGGTTTTCCTCCCCGGCTGGTCGGAGATAAAACTTGTGAAGACGATACTCGAGGAGTCTTTCGCTAATTCATGCCAACATATGGTTGTGCCGGTGCATTCGAGGTGAACATCTTCGTTAATATTATCCCGGTCTATTTATGGGTTTCAGATTTCTTTAATTGGATACACCTCTCGGTTACATTCAAATTAAAGTACAAATGACGGCATAGAGTGACTATTTATTACGGGTTTCACATTTATTTAATTGGATGCACCTTTCGATTACATTCAAGTACGATTGATAGCATAGATTACTAATTATTCATTCCATAGAAAGATCACAAATCTTCCTACTGTGGCAGTGAGATTTGTGATCTGTTGCACGAATGGCCAGGTCCGTCCGGGTAAGTACCACGACCTCACAGAAGACCGGCGTAAAGCAGAAGTGTTACACTATCTGGCGAGTGAGGTAGCCGGGGCCCACTTTATCAAAACGCATTTGCAACCCAACGGGTGTTGCAACAAAAATCTGCACAATATACCAAGCCAGCCAAGATTCGATCCCGCCTCGCAGGCTGTCCACCGCTGAGCAGACGAGAATGTTCGAGAAGCCCACGCCCGGCGTCAGGAAGGTGGTGCTGGCTACGAACATAGCAGAGACCTCTATAACCATACCCGACGTCGTGTATGTGATCGACACTGGGTCCCACAAGGAGAACAGAACTAAGGAAGGCACCGGTATCTATTTCTTCTTTTTTTATGTGAAACTAGCGCCCCGCCCCGGCATCGCACGGGTGCAGTATATACCTTCCTCTTGGATCACTCTATCTAGTAAAAAAAACAGCATCAAGATCCGTTGCGTGGTTTTAAAGATATAAGCATACATAGGGACAGACAGACAGCGGGGCGACTTTGTTTTATACTACGTAGTGATGTGCCAAGCGAGCAGGCGGTTCACCTGATGTTAAGTGAATACCGCCGACCATGGACATCTGCTACACCCGAGGATTCTTTATTTGCATTCCACAATGTATCTTAGATGGTAAAAACTTAAAATTAAGAATCATCATGGACCCTGCTAGGGCATAGCAATAGGGTTGCAGATGCGTTGACAACATTTGAAAAATTGAATTTATTCGAAATTTAAAACTACGCAACGGATCTTGATACGGTTTTTTTAACAGATGAGAGTGATTCAAGAGAAAGGATTATATGTATAATACATTGCAGCAGTGCGAAGCCGGGGCGGGTCGCTAGTACATATTATATAAACACCCAGACACTAGAAAAACACTGTTTCTCAGTAATATTTTTCCAGTAGTGGGGATCGAACCCGCACCATCTGGCGCAGGAGGCAGGCACACTACCTATTACTGCTACTACTATTATTCTAAAAATAATGTTTCATATTAATTGCAGAGATTGATACAAAAGATTGATTTTCAAATAGCATTTCACTTACTTATTTACTTACTTACTTAATTGGTCCCTTCAACAGGGACGGCGAGCTTGGAAACTGTTTGGGTTTCTCGGGCTGGTGCTAAGCAGAGGGCTGGCAGAGCTGGGAGGGTGCAACCAGGTAGGCTCAATTGGTTTAAAGTTAAGATGAGTAGTGTGAATAAATGGGCGAAGAATGAATGGAGGGTGAATGAATGAATGAATGAATGTGTGAATGAATGAAGGGTGAATGAATGTGTGAATGACTGAATGAATGTTATTTAATTCCCACACCATGATAAGAATTTCATTTGAATGGACGGGCTTACAAATTAGTGGTATTTCGTGTTTTTTTTCTTAAAAGGGTGGCAAGAAAGCTATATGCATTTCCCCGTCGAATGCTTAACCTTTGAGCAATAAAATATAAAATCGCTGCGAGGTACTCTCCGTTAGGCAACTATTTATATTATCTGTTGTTTTAAAGAAGCACCTGGAAGATATTATATATCATCAGAACGGGCAAAATCAGAAATTTTTTGCGCAACGTTTTTACAAATTCATTGGTACTTATCTTTATAATAAATGTAGTAAATATATAACAATAAATACTTTGAACATAATATGACTGTAAACAAACATTAACTACATACCTATATACACTTAATTATGAAGAAACTGAAGCTCTCATTACCACACACACACACACACACACACACGCACGCACGCACGCACGCACGCACGCACACACACACACACACACATTTATTTTATTAATATTTTTCCTTTTATCACGTACTTTCTGATGCTACCGTCTAATACAGTGCATCTTTTATTGAAATGGGGAAAGGCGCCGAAAGCCGAAATACAGGTTCTCAAAACCTAGTTCGGCGACGGATGCTATTCATCTATTGTAGTTATTTGTAACATTATTATGTATTAGCACTAAGTCCAAAATTATATAACTAAAAGGAAATAAACTTATTATTGTTATCTTATCTTATCTTAAATAAACCGCACATAATTCGTAATGCATATACATAAATCTGAAATGGCACAGAGACTTATATTTGTCCAAATCACTTATTAAAACGTATTTAATTAACAGAACTCTTTTAATATCTCCAGGTCAATGCTTCAGGATGTACACGAAAGAGAGGGAAGACAGTTTCGTTGATCACACAACACCGGAGATTTTGAGGTATGTCGTAATGATATTATACAGCGTGTCCTTACAATCGCGACAATAAATGAACACATCTCTGACGCTACGTGCCAATAAGCATAAAAAATATAAAACGTCAAAAAATCCATAATTAAAAAAAAATATTTTTCAAACAAACTAATTAAATAAAAAAGAAACATAATTTGTTACATCCTATAAAACTACAATTGACTGATTCATTCACACTTTCATTCGTTGCCGCAGCGTCGCATTACAAATCTCTCCTTCTAACAGTATGTTTTATCCCTTTCGAATTAATTCAACCCATTCATATGCTTTGTGACCTTTACAAATGAACTTTACGTTACAGTTTTATACGTAAGGTGTTCCAAAATTGTTTGTTTTGGAAAATTTAATAACTCAGTAAATATTGATGTTTAAAGAATGTAAATGATTAATACATTTTTAATAAGTTATCCATTTAGAGGATAACTTATTAAAATTGTATTGATTTATGGTCGCGTCAGTAGCGACACGCTGTATACGTAGATATGACACCAACTAACCGAAATTGTGAGGCAATAGCAAATAGCAGTCTATAGCATCGCAATTCTCACTCGCAATTGAGAATTACGATGCTATAGACTGAAGTCGCGCATGTCAATGCGTGTAACGTCATACAAGCCGACGACAAATCCAGTCTTCGTGAATGTACGTCAATACGGTTTTGGGCATGTGTTAAAGATCAGGCACTCTGGCCCTATGATATAATAAGCCCTCCGTAAGCGCCACCACTTTTGCCAGACCGCCGCGACTGCAGATGTGATTGTTAGTGTTTTGGCATCACCACCATTACAAGGTTAGCACGACATGAGCGCGTTATGAGTCACTGCTCACCCCAAGGGTATGGTTAAAACGTTGCAGCCTTGAGAGGTTTTCTCCCGCCAGCTACCATCCACATGAGGTAAACGCATATGCTCCACCAACCATTGAAATAGTCAGATATAGCCATAGTTGTGATTTTTATGTTTAGCCATCAGAAGGGTTTATAATTGGCAATTTGTCAGTGTTTCTGACGTTGAGTATAATGTATTTTCGATCAAGTTTGTCTCACCCACCAGCAAGTTACCATTATTCGTTCGAACGGTGGGAACTTTACTGAGATTCGTTAATCATGTTAAAACGTATAATAAGGAGGTCAGACAGTCTGCAGTTCCGTCATCAGGAACCCGACTTGGACAAATCTACTGAGATGTACATCAAACCGAGACGCAGACTCGGCCATTATGAATAGCGTCGTCTCCCAAGTAAATGTCGCAAGAAGCAATGTCACTAAATGCAACATGCATCAATACAACTATCGCAGGTCAACACGCCAACATACAGCCTATCCGCATACACAACATCATCACCTCGAACCTCCGTCAACCAGAATCACACGATGCAATGATATTAGGCGCAGATCACCCCGCAACTACCACAAGACGCATTACTGCATATAGCCGCACGCATCAATGTGACTATCGCGTAGGTGGCGCACCCTCACACCACACCAATATAACTCCAATCAACTTCGGCTCCAAAGTTTAGAATATACTCGGAAGACACGAAGTGTCCAAACATACTCTTTCACGATCCGAATGATAGTCGACGTATCATAGCGTAAACACTAAGACGCCAACCACCAACGGACCCCCACCCTAGTCAAGTAATAGCCAACGTATCATAGTGGAATACACTAAGACGCAAGCCACCACCAGACTCCCCAAAGTCAGATGATCAGTCGACGTATCATAGTGCAACACACTAAGACGCCAACTACCACCAGCTATCGATGATATGTCCACAACTGAAGACATATCCATTCATGGTTCCACGTTTACCGTAGACCATATCGTCGTACAGAAGTACCATGCAACTCCATAGTAATATCTCTTATAAAGTCCCAAGTCATTCATTGCTCTTCATTATATTTATATATTTTTTATTTTTTTCTCTGAGCCTTCACATATTATTACTTTTATCCATTTAGACCTTACTTCCATATGATATTGGTATGGGGACGTTCATACAATGTACTTTCACCATAGTACTAAGAGTCGCGATCGACCTCTGTACTTACATATGTTGCGGTCATACAAAATGTGTCCCCGCACGCTACATTTACAATTCTGACCTTAAAAATCACTAAGTATGGAATTGTATTTTATTGACATAATAGTGATCGTATATTGCTATATTTTTAATAAATACCCTTTTTTTGAGTATTTTAAATGAATTTTAACTATTTTTAATCAGTTTTTGGTAATATCATTTTCTCATACTAACACTTATATTTCTTTAATTTAAGTATATATTATTAACTTTTATTGTGATTAAAAGTTCTTAAACGTTTTATTTTCATCTTAATTGATCTTTATTATGACTAATTAATAATAATATTTATTATTATTAATAGGTCGTTACAATACGTAAATTTCGCTAGGAAAATGTCCTTACAACACACGCCATGTTTAAAACAAAAACAAGGAATGTACCGGTATTCCCCATTTCAGGATACCTCTGGTGCAGACCGTACTGGATTGTAAGACTTATTCACCAGACGATAAGGTCGAGAATTTCCTGTCACAACTGCCTGACCCCCCTAGCGGGAAGAATGTGCAGTTGGCGGTCAGCGATCTGATCGATTTAGGTAAGGCCCGAAGGTCGCAGCGAGCGGTGACAAGCTTGTCACCTGTCGTGCGTATGCCCGGTTCCTATATTCAACGAACGGCCGTTAGTTACATAGCTTCGTTACTTTCATAACGACTTGTAGATTAAAGGAACGCTAGTAACTCACTTTGCGTAGGTAATGCAACGGCTCGTAGGGAAAACGCCTCGTTTTGCTAATATAGGAACACACGCCTTTTATGTACAAGTCGTTATGAAAGTTACGAAGCTATGTTACTAACGGCCGTTCGTTTAATATAGGAACCGGCCATTAGTCGATAAACTATTTGCAACGACGATAAGCAGCGATCAGCTTGTTTGTTTTTTTAGGATTCCATACCCAATGGGTAAAACGGGACCTCATTACTAAGACTCCGCTGTCTGTCTATCTGTCCGTCTGTCACCAGGCTGTATCTCATGAATCGTGATATTAAGAGAGTTGAAATTTTCACAGATGATGTATTTCTGCCGCTATAACAACAAATACTAAAAAAAATAAGTGCGGCTTCCATACAACAGACGTGATTTTTCTGTCGTTTTTATAGATACAGGTTACGGAACCCTCGTACGCGAGTCCGACTCGGACTTGGCCGGTTTTTTCCTACCTCAAGGTTTGACCAACATCCTCTTTAGGGGCCCTCTCTCAGTCCGAGGGTCTGACCCGCTTGGGCTCCCTGCTGGCGGGGATGACCCTCCACCCCCGGCTGGGCTGCTGCCTCCTCTACTCCGCGGTGTTGGGCAACACCGTAGCGATGGCTAACGTCGTCTCGCACTGTTCCGACAACGTGGAACTGTTCGCCAACGCCCCCGACAGGAGGGAAGGTATGCATACTTGTTACTTGAAACAAGCAGAATATAAATTAAAATTGGTATAAAGAGTGCGAAAAGATCGACGCCCCTGCGGGAATCGAAGCCGCGTCTACAACATTCGCGGCGCGACGCTTTAGCCGCTGAGCTGAAAGGCCGTTCGCCGCAACGACGTAAATCTTAACGTCATTTATCTACATTGTTTTTTTTTAGCATTTGAAGCAATACAGCCTTGCGAATATAATTTAAAAAACTAAAATAACCGACTGCGTTTCTGTGTAATTTTTTATTTCGATATACCCAGTGTCACTCTCACAGTGAATACGAATCTAACGACACCTCTCAAGGTAAAATCCATCAAGCCATTCACGTTGCAGAGCGTGCCAAACAATTATACATACATACATACATACATATTCTCGAAAACATAACCCTCCTTCTGGCGCTGTCGTTGGGAACGTATGTTTTAGAGAATCCGCCTTTATTAGAGATTCGTGCATTCTTGCACCCAATAGGGGGCGTTACCGCCCCCACAGGAAACCTATGTTTTTGAGAATCCGCCTTTATCAAAGATTCCTGCACCCCTAAGGGGCGTTGCCGCCTCCGTTGGGAACCAATGAATTAGAGAATCCTATTTTTAGAGATCCGCGAGATCAAGCGCCGCTTCAACGAGACATCGGACCACGCTGCGCTGCACTGGATCCAGGAGGAGTTCGAGAGGAGAACGGACGGGAGGGGCAGGGAGGGGGCGAGGGCGTGGTGCGACGAGCTCGGCCTGCGCGCCGACAGGCTCGGCTACGTGAGATGTGAGCGAGACGGAGATATAGCGTATTATTCGGAAGATGGGCCCTTGGAAATATTAAGGATCCCGAAAAATATCGATACATCGATATTTTCAGCCGTATATATCGATATAAAGTATTCAATATCGAAATCGTATCAAAAATGATATTTTTTTTAAAGTCGAATCCGGGACAGAGTCCGTACATTCGAATATATAATACATGGCATACGTATTTTCTCTTTGATATATCGAAGCCGATATTGATATTTTTATAAATATCGACATACCGCCAATGGACATCGATCATCGAGTCACTATAAACGCTTGAATCTGTTACGTACTGCCGTTGCGTTATTCAAGCACTTTTACATCCTTCTCTTATTAAAACATTGCAGAGCTGATCCAAATCTCCTACAACAGTTTCAGTAACAATCTGCTATAATTACTTAAGAATTTCTCTCATCATGGTCAATCAGCAGATGACAAGTGCACAAATACAAAAGTCCGGTTTGAGTCCACTGCTGAACATAGGCCTCTCCCACAGACTGCCACCCGCTTAGCATTTTTTTACAAAATGATTATCCCGATTTTTATTCATTCCAAAACTACATACCTGTGACCTTGAATGCAATAAAGAAAGTAGATTTCGAGATTTTCACCACTTAAGTGAATCGGTCGCTTGGCTCAGTGGCTAGAGTCCCGTAAAGCAAGTTTTTCTTGAGTTTCTTTCAAGAGTTTCTCCTCTTCTCTCTCTGTCTTCTCTGTCCTCGTCCCCAGCGGTGTCCAACCTCCAACTGCAGCAGCTGCCCATCTTTAGTTCTCCCACCGGAAAGAGTTTCTCCTCTTCTGTCTCTCTCTCTCTCTCTCTCACTTACCCACTCGTCCTCGCCACCAGCGGTGTCCAACCTCCACCTGCAGCAGCTGCTGACGTCGGGCTTCGTGGAGCGGGACCCTGACGTGGAGGAGCTGAACCGGTTCTCCGACGTGGACGAGCTGACGGCGGCGACCCTGCTGGCGGGCGCCAACTCCTTGCTGCGCACCAGGAGGATGGTGCGCGCCAAGGGCAAGCTGGCGACAGTGACCCAGGTCGTCACCAGGTGCGATTTCGACTTGGTAGCTTTAGGCGTGTTTCCGACTTCGTAGATTTCGACTTCGTGGCTTAAGACGTATTTGGTACTTCGTAGATTGCAACGTGTTTGCGACTTCGTGGCTTCTTTATGCAACACCTTCAAACTTTTGCAACACGTTCACTTCAGTAAAAGTGTTTTGTATGAAGCAACGAAGTTTTTTTTACGTCAGGTGTTGAGTGATTACCGCGAGGCGGATTGTTTTATTGCGTTGTTTTGAACGAGTAAATGATTTCCTTAGGAAAAGTTGGCAAGCGGGCAGTCTTGCCACGATCTCACATAAATCACTTTATGCCGTGCAGCAACCGTCCGCTCGCTTGCCAACAACTCACATAAATCACAATACAAAAAAGTAAAGTAACAGCTTATACATATCCCACTGCTAGGCAAAGGCATACTCTTTTTACAGAGGGTGTGGGCGTGGTGAACTATGCCCTTGTGGCATAGTTCACCACGCGGCCTCACTGCGGATTGGCGAACTTCACATATTTTTCGAAAATATGCAGGTTTCCTCACGATGTTTACCTTCACCGCTGAGCACGTGATAATTCAGCACTTAAAATTAACAATTTCATTGGTGCCGGCACCGGGGATCGAACTCAGGTTGCTCGAGTTATCACGATCTCACACGAAAACCACCCGCCGTGCAGCAACCGTCCGCTCGCTTGCCACGATCACACATAAATCACAGCCCATCGCCACGATTTCACATGAAAACCACACGCCGTGCAGCAACTGTCCGCTCGCTTGCCACGATCACACATAAATCACAACCCGTCGCCACGATCTCACACGAAACTACCCGCCGTGCAGCAACCGTCCGCTCGCTTGCCACGATCACACATAAATCACAACCCGTCGCCACGATCTCACACGAAACTACCCGCCGTGCAGCAACCGTCCGCTCGCTTGCATCGATCACACATAAATCACAACCCGTCGCCACGATCTCACACGAAACTACCCCGCCGTGCAGCAACCGTCCGCTCGCTTGCATCGATCACACATAAATCACAACCCGTCGCCACGATCTCACTCACGATCTCACACGAAACTACCCGCCGTGCAGCAACCGTCCGCTCGCTTGCATCGATCACACATAAATCACAACCCGTCGCCACGATCTCACACGAAACTACCCGCCGTGCAGCAACCGTCCGCTCGCTTGCATCGATCACACATAAATCACAACCCGTCGCCACGATCTCACACGAAACTACCCGCCGTGCAGCAAACCGTCCGCTCGCTTGCCACGATCACACATAAATCACAACCCGTCGCCACGATCTCACACGAAACTACCCGCCGTGCAGCAACCGTCCGCTCGCTTGCATCGATCACACAAAACCACAACCCGTCGCCACGATCTCACACGAAACTACCCGCCGTGCAGCAACCGTCCGCTCGCTTGCCACGATCACACATAAATCACAACCCGTCGCCACGATCTCACACGAAACTACCCGCCGTGCAGCAACCGTCCGCTCGCTTGCATCGATCACACATAAATCACAACCCGTCGCCACGATCTCACACGAAACTACCCGCCGTGCAGCAACCGTCCGCTCGCTTGCATCGATCACACATAAATCACAACCCGTCGCCACGATCTCACACGAAACTACCCGCCGTGCAGCAACCGTCCGCTCGCTTGCATCGATCACACATAAATCACAACCCGTCGCCACGATCTCACACGAAACTACCCGCCGTGCAGCAACCGTCCGCTCGCTTGCCACGATCACACATAAATCACAACCCGTCGCCACGATCTCACACGAAACTACCCGCCGTGCAGCAACCGCCCGCCGTGCAGCAACCGTCCGCTCGCTTGCATCGATCACACATAAATCACAACCCGTCGCCACGATCTCACACGAAACTACCCGCCGTGCAGCAACCGTCCGCTCGCTTGCATCGATCACACATAAATCACAACCCGTCGCCACGATCTCACACGAAACTACCCGCCGTGCAGCAACCGTCCGCTCGCTTGCCACGATCACACATAAATCACAACCCGTCGCCACGATCTCACACGAAACTACCCGCCGTGCAGCAACCGTCCGCTCGCTTGCATCGATCACACATAAAGCGCAACCCGTCGCCACGACCTCACGAAACCACCCGCCGTGCAGCAACCGTCCGCTCGCTTGCCACGATCACACATAAATCACAACCCGTCGCCACGATCTCACACGAAACTACCCGCCGTGCAGCAACCGTCCGCTCGCTTGCATCGATCACACATAAATCACAACCCGTCGCCACGATCTCACACGAAACTACCCGCCGTGCAGCAACCGTCCGCTCGCTTGCATCGATCACACATAAATCACAACCCGTCGCCACGATCTCACACGAAACTACCCGCCGTGCAGCAACCGTCCGCTCGCTTGCCACGATCACACATAAATCACAACCCGTCGCCACGATCTCACACGAAACTACCCGCCGTGCAGCAACCGTCCGCTCGCTTGCATCGATCACACATAAATCACAACCCGTCGCCACGATCTCACACGAAACTACCCGCCGTGCAGCAACCGACCGCTCGCTTGCATCGATCACACATAAAGCGCAACCCGTCGCCACGACCTCACGAAACCACCCGCCGTGCAGCAACCGTCCGCTCGCTTGCCACGATCACACATAAATCACAACCCGTCGCCACGATCTCACACGAAACTACCCGCCGTGCAGCAACCGTCCGCTCGCTTGCATCGATCACACATAAATCACAACCCGTCGCCACGATCTCACACGAAACTACCCGCCGTGCAGCAACCGTCCGCTCGCTTGCATCGATCACACATAAATCACAACCCGTCGCCACGATCTCACACGAAACTACCCGCCGTGCAGCAACCGTCCGCTCGCTTGCCACGATCACACATAAATCACAACCCGTCGCCACGATCTCACACGAAACTACCCGCCGTGCAGCAACCGTCCGCTCGCTTGCATCGATCACACATAAATCACAACCCGTCGCCACGATCTCACACGAAACTACCCGCCGTGCAGCAACCGTCCGCTCGCTTGCATCGATCACACATAAAGCGCAACCCGTCGCCACGACCTCACGAAACCACCCGCCGTGCAGCAACCGTCCGCTCGCTTGCATCGATCACACATAAATCACAACCCGTCGCCACGATCTCACACGAAACTACCCGCCGTGCAGCAACCGTCCGCTCGCTTGCATCGATCACACATAAAGCGCAACCCGTCGCCACGACCTCACGAAACCACCCGCCGCGACAGCTCGGGCGAGCGCGCGCACGTGGGCGCGGAGAGCGTGAACCACTCCTTGGCGAAGCGGCGGCCGGGCGCGCGGCTGCTGGCGCACTTCGGCGGCACCCACTCGGCGGAGCGGCGCGCGCTGCTCGTCTACAGGAGCTCGCTGCTGCCGCCGCACGCGCCGCTGCTCTTCTCCAAGGGGCCGGTGGCCGCTCAGGTGGGTTGTGTCGTCTCTTTCACGCGCTGAACTGTGCCCTGGTAGGTTGACTCGTGTTGTCCCTTTCGCGCGCTGCGCTGTTCTCTTCGGGCGCCCGGCGGCCACTCCGGTGGGTCGGCTAGTAACGTGTCGTCTCTTTCTCGCGCTCGTAGGCTGCGGTAGGCTGGTTCGTGTTGTCCCTTACGCGCGCTCTACTGTGCTCTTCTCAAGTACCGGTGGCAGCTCTGGTGGGTCGGATACGTCGTGTCGTCTCTTTCAGGCGCCAAAATGATTATTGTAATCACGATGTTATGATACAGTATTGGCGTAGTGGGTAATATTGATACAATTCGCTGCGTTATTAAAAAAATTGTACAATAATGGACGAAAAGATATTGGCCTCTGCGACGATTTGAACCCGCATCCTTTGGTATTCGCGCCCGACACTGGGCCTAAGGGCTTATCTTCGCACCGACGAAAATCACAACTTATTTCATCTGTTTTGTTTTTTATTATTACGTGGTATTTATTCTGTTTCAAAATGTTCTTATCCTTTTTATTACTTTGTATTGTGTTTCAAAATGTTCATATCCCTTTTATTGCGTTATAATGTGTTTCAAAATGTTCTTACCCCTTTTATTGGGTTGTATTGTATTTCAAAATGTTTCTTAACCCAACAGGAGAGCGACGAGGACGATACGACTCTGTTGATCCTGCCGCGACATAGGCTACAAATTCACGTGCCTAGAAGGTATTTCTGTGGTTTTTTTTTGAAGTTATACTTCTTTATTTATTATATAAATATTTATATTTATATAATAAAGAAGTATAACTTGCGCGTTATAAAAAAAATATGATAGTGAAATTTTGAGACGCGCGCGCATCACTGTAACACAAAAGTCACACCTTTGAAGCTAAACCGCTTATTTTTTACTAGCTTTTCGCCCGCGGCTTCGCTCGCGTTGAAGCCCTGAAATAAATATCTTTCAACCCTTTACAAAACTTTTTTCCAATAAATAACCAAAAACCTAGCCTATGTGCTCTATGTCGGGATCTAGACTATCTGTGTACCAAATTTCATTTAAATTGATTTAGTAGTTTTGTAGTGAAAGCGAGCCAGACAGACGGAGTTACTTTCGCATTTATAATGTAGATGGCGCTTTCATAACTTTATTATTTTATTATTATATAAATAGTACCTTTTCCAGTCATTTAATTATTTTATTGTAATTAATTATTTGCATGCAATTATTTAATGATGCCAAAGAAGTATTCTTCTAGTGCTTCTCACGCGCCTACATAGGTGCATTACATCCTGTGTTGTAAGGACGTCATCTGCGGGTCACACAAATATTTGACCCGTATGGGAACCGAACATACGACCCACGACGTCGAAGCCAATTTATCGGCTAACTGCGCCACGGAATCATCAATGGGTAATTAGGTACGTCCATTTTCAGCCAAGCGGGTAGTATTCTGAAGGCGCGCGAAATGCTGTGGAGGACTTTCAGTTCTACGTTGAAAGGGACTTGACGAGATTGGAGTACGAAGACTTTGAGAAAGTGAACCACTTCAAGGTCAGGCTGGTGAAGACTCTGGCCAGGATATTAGTGGAAGCAGAGAATGTTAAAAGAAACCAAAGCCTCGATGATGAGGAGTGATGAATAAATTATTGCAGACAGTAATTTTTGTTGTTTTTTTTTTTCTATCTGTACCTGAGATGCCTAAAGTTTGGGTACGAACGATTGTTTCTCAATCTCTAAAGCTTAAGAACAAAGAACTTTTTTGTAACGCAGTTTTGAAAATTCCGTTGCGGGGAAAAAAGGGGTTTCGATTTCGGCCGAAACTTCGGCCCCTATCTACTTATTGGGGCCTTTTTGCAAATATAGATAGCATGACATATTATGTAATACCGTAAGTTTGCAGATACGTTTTATTAAGTGTGCCCTGACTACTAGACGAAACGAAGTTCGTAGTACTTTCACGGACGACCCTGGCCATCGGGCAACAACAGACTGCGTGGCTGTACCGCAATTCAGTCTCTCTTCTTATCGTGTTTATTAATGCAATCAAATTTCTCTAACAACAATGATTATCTAAGCAATGAATATCAAACAAAAAGTTGTAGGTATCCCAAATTAAAAACACTGACGTGAATGGTACATTTAACTCATGTTATTTCCCGCATCCGTTTTCCTGGATGGTGTGTGAAAGGGGAATAACTGTTATAAATAAAATCCCAGTAACGAAACCCAGTATATAAGCATCATATCTTAAGTAAAAGCAGTTCTTCCCAACTAAATTGGTCCCACGTAATATCAAGTAGGTATCATGTGTTCAATAAATTTAATTCACATACTATAGTTTTGCATATAACTTGGTAAATTATTTGCATTTTGCTCCGATCGCTACTCCATCTAGTTTCGTCTGTTGACACACCGTAACTAAACTATGACGAAAATATGTATATCTTTTTATGCAGTCTCCCACTGAAGGGACGTTATCACTGCGCTACACTGAAGGTGTACTGTAATATACAGCTTCTATCTCTCTCTATATGTCTTTACAATCGCGACAATAAATGAACACACATATAGAGGATAACTTTTTAAAATTGTATTAAGCGTTTACATTCTTTAAACTTCAATATTTACAGAGTTATTACATTTTCCAAAACAAAGAATTTTAGAACACCCTTACGTATAAAACTATAACGTAAAGTTCATTTGTAAAGGTCACAAAGCATATGAATGGGTTGAATGAATTTAAAAGAGACAAAACATACTGTTAGAAGGAGAGGCTTGCAATGCGACGCTGAGGCAACGAATGAAAAAGTCTCGGAATGTATGAATCAGTCAGTTGTAGTTGTATAGGTGTTACAAATTTTGTTTCTTTTTTACTTAATTAAGTAGTTTGAAAAATATTTTTTTTGAATCATGGATTTTTTTAACGTTAATATTTTTTTATGGTTATTGGCAAGTAGCGTTAGACGTGTGTTCATTTATCGCGATGGTAACGACACGGTTTAGATATTGATAGGTATTTATAATGGTGGCATTGGTACTATGGTACCTTTAGATTAATCTTAGATTTTATTGTTGTCTTAAATACGCCACCCACAGATACATTCTCGTGAATGAGGTCAGTATTTGGATAGATCTCATCTTATTTCCGATCACTAATGTAAGGATAAATACGGGCAGTGCCTTTATTAACAAGTTATGTATTGATTTCTTGATTTTACGCGAATATTATACAAATTAAATTTAACGATTTTATTGCGTTTTAATTTTGATTTTTAATTCCCGACGTTTAGAACCTTTCTGGAATAATAATCAAAATTAAAACGCTATAAAATCCGTAAATTAGTTTCATTTAATAAGTTATGTATTGTTTGAACAGAAATAACATTTATTTGAATAAATGAAATATTCCTGTAATGGGTACTGAAAATTATAGTATAATACTGCTTCCTAAATATATTTTTTTACAAGGAACCGATCTATTATTAATATCATAACCAGTATTAAACAAACTCATTAGAAAGTAGATAGATGTTGGAGTTAAATTTTCCTGCTTGCTTTTTTTAAATACATTTCCTTAATTATAATTGATTCCTTTATTATTTTTATCGCAGTAGAAAAATAGGTGAAAAGTTTTTCGTCACAACACAAAACAAATTTTAAATTTAATCTTCGCTGCAGAGAATAGTAGTATAACAATTAATATCATATAAATTAATAAAATAAAACCTCCCGCTTTATTTCGTTATACTTATTTTACAAACATCAAAATGTGTTTCAAAAAGGTCAATCGTATTAAAGTCGTGATCATCGATCAAGCTTTTATTAGACTTTAAGACTTATTCCTTATCTGTCTGTGATGACTATTGTGCCGCTGGCTAATTTTATTTTGATTTTCGACAATCGACGACAATGTCATCATGTCATGCTCATGTCATGTCTGCTCATGTCATTTGAAAATTGAATAATGAATTGAAATCTCTCGTCAAGTTTGGTTTAGTCACGGAGTCAATTCGTATATAAGTAAGCAAACGCACGTTATTTATGTAAATGTTATCGGATAAAACAAGCAATCTTGAGTGGGGACTGGGGAGCTATTACATATTAAACGTTGCGGCGTGCAAACCGGTCAGTGGTTCGGTTTTCCTCGTCCATCTATGACACTGACGCTGCGTTTCTCGGTAGTGAATGTTGTCTGGCGATGGTATTAACGTTGTGAGGAATTCTACACCCAATTAAAGTACATATAGGTCACAATGCGCGTTCTCCTAGTTGTGCCGATTTTGTTCGCGTTGTGTCACAGTCAGGGAAAAGTTAATCAGACCAGTTTGCACCATGGCCTCACGGAGAGGATTGGCAACTTTTCCATCGAGCTGCTATATCACTCGACGGCGACACAAAAGAATGTTCAGAATTTGGTGATATCGCCGTTCACAGTGTGGACTGTCTTAGCTGTGATAGCCGAGGGCGCTTCGGAGAATACGCTGAAGCAAATCAGCCACGCTATACGGGTAGCGCCGAGATTGAGGGCGCAGACTCGCCAGGAGTTCCGCAATATCGCCCAATGGCTGCAAGTCAACACGACCACAGTCAACCTCGAAAAATTCAACGCGATCTTCGTCGACGAACGCAAGTTGCCCCTCCCAGATTTCGTCTCGATCGCTAACCAATACGAAACCAAAATGATCAAGCTCAATTTTACGGGCAGTTATACCTCCGAACTGATTAATACGGCAATCAACAATGTTACCCACGGTAAAATACCGCATCTAACTGACAGTAGCGACTTTGCTGAAGCACAAATGGTGCTCACTAGTGCTTTGTACTTTAAAGGACAATGGACCATGCCTTTCAACACCAGCTCAACATCCAAACAACCATTTTTCGACAGCAACGGTAAGAAGATAGGTGAGGTCAAAATGATGTACAATCGTAACAACTACCCATTTGCTAATATAATGGAACTTAATGCTAGAGTTATAGAGTTGCCCTATGGTAAAGAGAACAGGCTGTCTATGCTTGTGATGCTGCCAAATCCTGGTGTATCCGTCCAGGACATGTTCCTCAATTTTAACAATGTACCTATAGATGTGATCTTCGAAAATTTGAAATTGTCTACCGAAGAGTATGGAGACGATGAAGTAGATTGTTTCCTGCCCCGTTTTAAAATAGAGTCAAATTTGGATTTAACTGATACATTAAAGAATCAGTTAGGCATAAAAGATTTGTTTGAAGAGTTAAAAGCTAGATTGCCGTTAATGTCGCGCATACCAATGTATGTCACAAAAGTTGCACACAAAGCAGCGATTGAAGTAACGGAAGAGGGAACAGAGGCAGCTGCAGTGACCGCTGCCGAGTTCTCAAACCGCATTGGTGTTGTGAGATTTGAAGCAAATAGACCATTCTGTTATCTTATCATAGAAAAAACCACGAACTCCATTGTTTTTGGAGGTATTTACCAAAACCCATCTTTATTTTAGTATGTGTTGTCTTCCTACCTCTACAATGAGTGTGTTCAAGATATGTCATGTGTAATTTATAAAAGTTTAATTATAAGATAAAAAGTTTTTTCTAACAGAGTTAAAAACAGCCTCTCTTATTGCTAATGGTTGTATCTCACTAGATGATATATTATTTATATCATTATAAAAACTAATTCCATCAACTTTCTGCCCCAACATACACTTGAGAATTTTTTATCCGTTATAAGTGTTATTTGATGTTTTATTAATTAAATTTAGGCTTAATAATAACATCAATTGTCACCAATAACTGTTTGTATACACAAGTCATTTGTAAAACTGTGATAAAACATAGATCTTTATAAACATTATTTTTAAGACACAAATTAATAAATTTTTATTTTCTAACACTGAATTTTATTTTTGACAAAAATCAATTTATGCAATATGAATTTCCATAAATTACTTAAAATATAATGAATAAAAAAATCATTATAACAAAGATTAAGACAATTTAAATATTTATTTTTCTAGTATAAAATAATTTTTATAATTGCATATCCTAGCCTTATGCTTAAGAAATTATTGGAGTAAAGTTCTTGTACATAATTTAAACATATTATGAAGTGGTGCTTTTTTATTCTGCACAAAATAAAGTAGAGCTTGATAAGAAAATGTTGCATACTATTTTCTAGGTTAATCCTAACCTCACCATGAGGCAAAATATAATTCTATAAAGTTTCTAAATGATATGTTAAAAAATAAAACAGTGTAAATTTTATTTAGAAATTATTATAAAAATAGATATCTATTTTTATAATAATTTCTTGTATTTACGTGATTACACATTACTAAATGAAACTATTTTTACGGATTTATCGCGTTTATTTGTTTTAATTACCGACGTTTCGAACCCTTTACAGTTTTCATGATCACGGGACAGACTTCTACTATTTTATGTATTTTTTATATATGTTTATCAGTTAACTAGTATCCATAATAAAAGAAATATACAGCGTGTCGTTACCATCGCGACAATAAATGAACACACGTCTAACGCTACTTGCCAATAAGCATTAAAAAATATTAACGTTAAACAAAAACCATAATTAAAAAAAAATATTTTTCAAACAAACTAATTAAGTAAAAAAGAAACAAAATTTGTAACATCCTATACAACTCGCGCCACACCGTCACATTATAAGCCTCTCCTTCTAACAGTATGTTTTGTCTCTTTTAAATTCATTCAACCCATTCATATGCTTTGTGACATTTACAAATGAACTTTACGTTACAGTTTTATACGTAAGGGTGTTCTAAAATTGTTTGTTTTGGAAAATTTAATAACTCTGTAAATATTGATGTTTAAAGAATTTAAATGTTTAATACAACTTTAAAAAGTTATCCCCTATATGTGTGTTCATTTATTGTCGCGGTGGTAACGACACGCTGTATAACGTGATAAATATGGGCCGGATTTTTTATTTAGATATGTATTTTATTTATAAATTGATAATAATAATATAGTAAGCTTATTCAGCACATTAAAATTCATATTGCAATGCCATTTTGTTATTACAGAATTTATGAATATGATGTCAAGAACAGAATAAGTATTTATATTAAATTCATGCAAGCAAGTATTATGAAGTCCCTCACAGTAGATATATAACACAAAACTTGTTTGTTCCCAAGTATTTTGCATAAAACAAAGATGGATATACTATCGTAGCATTGTTTCTTCGCGTTAATGTTTATATTTAACAGGAAAGACAGACGAAACAAACATCACATTGTCGTTGGTTCAATGTTTTGAATAAAGATTAAATATAATGTAAACAGAAGCGCAGAGGGAGCGCGAAGTGAAAAAATTATCAAATCAATTGTTAATAATTTTATTTGCGTGTAAAGATAATGATTACTACATTACAATGAATTCGACTGATTTCTCGGGTCAAATCTCAGCGGGTAGGTTATACATGATACAGCCATTCCATTTCAGTACATTTACTGCGAGTGTGGAAAATGCTCCTTCATTTTTAGCGTTCCGTACCCAAAGGGTGAAACGGAACCCTATTACTAAGACTCCGCCGTCTGTCTGTCTGTCTGTCTGTCACTGGGCTGTATTCCAAGAACCGTGATAGACAGTTGAAATTTTTACACATGATGTATTTCTGTTGCTGCTATAACAAAAAAATAATAAAAAAATATTTAAGTGCGGCTCCCATACAACAGACGTGTTTTTTTTTTGCGGTTTTTATAGACGGAAACCTTCGGGTGCGAGATCGGCTCTCTTCTTCTCTTGCCTTAAAGCAATTGCTACGGCTATGTTATTAGTGTCTTTGAATGCGATTATTATGTAGTTACCTCATATGCTTGATTCATAAAGCCTATAAATTATGATAATTGTAAATTATTTTGGTTTAACATGTTTAATATTGTAGTATTCTACAGCTGTAGAAAAATAACTGAAATATGTTTTGTTTCGGCTTCGTCTTGCTATCGATCGTCACCGAAATATAAAAAATAAAAATATAAATTCTTAAAAGCATTGCAAATTTTTAACTATAATATAAAATTATATTAATGTTTAGAGCTGTTATTATAATATGAAGAGACTTTGTTTGGAGCATATGCTTAACCCATTTCGAAAGCCATATAAGCGATAACCTTCAATTATCACAAATTATAAAACGGGGAAAAACTTTACAATTAACAACGAGTCGATTGACAATTTCTCGTCATGTACCGAGGTACATGACGAGTAATTGTCAATCGATTTACTATTGGATCATGAGAACCATTTCAATAGTTCATTTATCAATATTTCATTGCAATAAGGCCACGCAATAGCTTTTACTGCTACGCTGTATAGGAATCTTGAATTATGTACCTCGTTTTTCCAGAAGACGATCTTAAAATATAAGTATTTACTTTAGTTTACAAAATAATTGGTTCCTTTGAGTTCCGCCGACTGAGTGAGGTATCGGGCAATGATACAATATACACATTCGAGGTAGAAGTGACAGTAGCGCATTGAAATTGAGGCACTCAAATAACACCAATTGGTGTAATTAGATTGCGATTCCATAGACTGCTATCTCTTTCCATATCATACGTTCTATATCTTCTGTCACATTCACTTATACATATATGTAATATAATGTAAAGCGGAGCAATTTTTAAAATCGCCGCTCATTATGGACATGCGTAATCTGTTGTTTAATAATATTAATATGATGTTTAATAATATTATTAAACATCATTGGTAACGGGTACTCTTTTGTGACTAATTGCCCGTTTGTCCTTTTCTTTAAAAACTATATATAATTTTAGATATGGGTACATTTATACAGTATATTATGTACCTTAGTTTTGTTTGAATATTAAGGGCATTGACTCGGAGTATATTGCAAACGCTTAAGTATATCTTGGTTCGGTATATGTCTCGATAAGGCCTGTCATTTCGACGTCGCTCGTAACTTGTAATTACCGTGTTTTTAGTGACGTCGTTGAAAAGGTGTGTTCATCAAGTCAAATAGGTCTCACAGATAAACGGTGCGTCAACTTGTGCATAAATGTTTCCTGGGCAACGGTATATTTCAATTTTTTCTCGATAAATTAGATTGTTTTGCTATTGTTACATAAACAACATTCCTAAGAAATTTTCGAAGCTCATATAAGCGTCCAATTCCAGATCTCTTATTGAGCGACCAAGCGCACAAAGCAAATCAAAATAAATTTTGTATCTATCTACATCTCTTAAATTATTCATTTTTTAAATATACTTTAAAAATGTAGAAAAAGTACGAAAAGATTGTCGCCGCTGTGGGAATCGAACCCACGTCTTCGGCATTCGCGGCCTGACGCTCTAGCCACTGAGCTAAACGGCTGATAGCCACAGCGACGAAAACCTTAACGCCTTATTTCTACATTGTTATTTAGCATTTGAAGTAATGCTTGGCGCATCTATTGTTATATCCTTTCCAGCATACAAACAATTTCGAATATCGTTTTACAACGATAATTCGACATTGTACGAATCGGATGACATCATTAAAGCCGCAAAGAGTCGACGGACGATTAAAAAAAAACCTAGCAGATTTTTTCAATCCGCATTTAATCAATTGCCGTTAAATAAAGTTTGGTTTTTATTATTTTCACACGATAAGTTGCTGAATTCATTGGTATTTAACACGTCCGATGTGTTGCACGGTAGTACATTTTATCATTAAAACTTATTTCAGCGTGCTTTTAGAAGAGAACCTTCTTTGTTGGCGATTCGATAATTGGACGAGCGCCGATTATGGAAAATATCAGCGTTTTATGCACATTTCGTAACATAATAGAGAAAAAGGAAGTACCAAACGTGGATAATAAGTCTCGCGTACTATAGAATGGTAGATTTACCGTGCTTTGTGTTACTATCATTATTTATTTTCTTATATAAAGCTGTTTATTAAAAAAAAAGTTTACGAAACTGTGAACAAGATAAGATCGTATTTTTTCCTTCCATTCAACATATGTAATACGAATACTGTAATTCCCACGGTATACAAAACAGATAAGAATAATGGTTACTTCAAGGATGTAAACAATTGTAAACTTTTTTGCGGACGGCTTGATCGTTTACGTAATCCTACACATACAATTGAGAAACATTATCTAAGTACAGTTTATATTTTTACCGTTACCTCTAATGCTTTTCACACCTACTCTAAAGATAAAGGTCGATGCCAGTGAATGTAAAAATACATTTTTGAGTGTGGTATATTTTTTATCTAACACAGAAAAATGTATTTCAAATCGATAAACTAAAAGCCACGTAGCTTCTAAGCAAAACAATGTACAGGCAGCGGGCTAGTCTGGGGAAAGACCATGGCCTCACAGAACACCGGCGTGAAGTGGGAGTTTTATACTTTTGATTTTAGACTGGTAAGTTTGTACCGGGCCCCAATTTTTTAAAGGATGGTAACGGATCTGGTACCATACTTTAAATCCACTCCTCAGGTGTT